AAAACTTTGTTATTTATTAAATAAGAGAATTAAAGCATAAAAGTTTCTAGCAATAAGAGACTTTTCTTTATATATTTTTAATTTTTTATAACTAATAACTATTCTAAATTATATTATGATTTACAAATAATACTAATAATACAAAAGAAGTATAAATACTGAAAAATAAATAATAAATTATACAAATTCATTAACAAGAAAATATAAAAGAAAATTAGTTGTAATTTTAGTGATTAAAGATAAAAAAGCAAAAATTTGAGTAAAAAGAAGTATTATAAAGAAAGAAAATAATAGTACAAATATAATTATAAATAATTATAATAAAAAAATTAAGAAATTAAAAAAATAATTATAACAAAAATGAAAAATAAAATAAAATAAAATAAATATAAGAATAATTAGTTAAAAATAATGAAATAAAAGATAAAAATAAGAATGATAAAAGTATAAATGAGATAAATCAATAGTAAAAATATAAATTTTATAATAAAAAATACAAGAATAAATGAATTTAGCAAAATAGTAAAAGAAAATAAAACAACAAGTATACAAAAATGTGATTATTATTAGATATTATAATTTAAATATCAAAAAGATAATAATATATATTAAATATAATTATATAATAGGATATAATATAAAAATAAAAAAACAAATTAATTTGATCATTATTGAGTTATATAATATTACATTAATTTTTTTTGTAATATATTACTTTTTCAAGTGATCTTTCTTTATTTTAACTAAATTAATATTACTAAATCATTATATTTTTCAATTAATTTTTTTTAAAATTTCATTTAATATAATATTATTTATAGCTCTATTATCAATAATAATTATTGCATTATGATTTTTAATTTTTCTAATACAATATATTATATTAATAGATTTTTGTTTTACTTTTTTGTTTTTTTATTACTAATCAATATTTGTTTAAATATCTTAGTTAAAAGTTTTGATAGAAATAATGTATATTTACCTTCTTGAAGTATATTTAAGAGTTTAAATTCTGAAATATATATTTTGTTATTAATTATTATTTTGCTATCAATTATTATTATTATTATTATTATTTTTTATTGTTATAGTATAGTCTTATTTATAGAGTTATTTAATCTAGTATACAAATATAAAGAACAAGAAATTAAACTGAAAATTATCAATAAGCTATATTAAAAGTTATTAATATGATTAGTTATCAGTAACTTGTTAAATAACTATACAAAGTCAAGATAATTCATTAAATTGTCACTTGAAATTTTTAATTTGATGATATTAATAATATTGATATTACTATATAAAATAAAGATAAATGAAAAAGAACAATTATCATTATTATATTCTTTAGAAAGAAATTTATATTTATATAGGAATGTATTAGAAAATTTTTTGTTAAGTAAAGTATAATATAAATTACTATTAGTAAAACAACCAGTTGTATTTTTTTGTATATTGTTATATTTATTGATATTGATTTGTATTTTATATTTAGAATTTTAGATTTTGAATTTAACTTATAAAATGAATTAGTAAGTCATTTTGTAAGTGATAGATATAACTGACTTTTGATTAAATTAAAAATTTTTTATGAATGTAACTAGACTATCTGATATGAATTTGTAAATTAGATAAATAATATCAAGTTGCGAATTAACTATATTATTGTTGTCATTGAAAAGATATTGAACAGTTTGCAGAAGAATTTAACTTGAATTGTATATTATATATTATTGATGTTATTTTTGATTTTTTATTTTTTTGTTTGTTTGATTAAGTTAAAGATGAGTTTATTAACAAATTTTGCAATAATATCTTAAAAAATAAGTTGAAAAGATAAGCATAATTAGATATGTTGTTGTGATTCATATCATGTTTAATTATATTAATGACAACAACAATAGAATCAGTTATATTATATAATATATAATTTATATAAATATATCATATATCTTAGCTTAGAAAAAGTAGTTAATAACAAAAGAAATCTCTTGTTTGATAGAAACTTCAAATAACTTGTAAAGTTATATTTGTATTGGTTTTTGATCTTGAAAAATAGATTGTTTATAATAAATCATTGTTATTGACTTGAAAGACAGTCACTTGATAAAATTATTATTTGAATCATAACTTTTGAAGTTCTAAAATAATATACAAAACTCAGTGAAGTTATTGGATGTCATTCTAGCTCATCACAACAAGAATACATGTTACCTATCTTTAGTAATAAATCTTAATCTCTCCCATTATAAAAACTTAATTTTTTTTGATCTTAAATTAATAAAACACGTGATTAACACATTAAGAACTCAACATTTATAAAAATAGTAACACTATATAATTTTTGAATATGTCATAAAAACTTTTAAATCAATAATATGTTTTATATTAAAAATTTTATCAACTTCTTAACTAAATCCAATATTTAACTGGTAATATTATAAATAAATAACTTTGTTTAATAATATTACCAATTAAATTTATAAGCTTTTTTATATTAATTTTTTAGTAAATACAATACTATATAAAACTTTTAGCTATTATAAATATATAAAAAATTTATTTGTTATATTCAATATTGATTACCAAAAAAAAAGAAATTTAACTAATAAAAAACAAATATATATAAAAATTAGAAAATTTTATTTATTTATTGATTTAATTTTTATATATATCTTAATAAAATTACTAAATTATACATGTAACATAATTACATGTTATAGTCAATATCACAAACATGATTTCTCGAACCAAGTATTGAAATACAAAATTCTTCAATTTTTTTAATAATCAATTTGATTGAATTTATTTCATATTAAATTAAACTAAAATAATTCTTGATCGTACAAGATAGCTGGAATCTTATACATTCCATAATTAGCGTTAGAAAAAAAGAAAATTTGGGGAGGGGAGATGATCAGTGTAGCACAAATCGTCAGGAGTCGGATTTTCTGGCAGCAAAAAATAGGGGAAGGGAGTTCAAAATGAAATACCATCAACGTCATCATAATACATAATTTCATCCGTTTGTCCTATAAGCTCAAAAATCACAAATATTGTCGAATGAACAATATAAAGAATGAATCACGGATCGACCCACCATATATGTAGATCAAGTTCAATCGTATTAATAGTTCAAGAAAATTTGAATATTGTAATAGTAATAATAATAACAATGATGATAATTGTTCAAAAAACAAAAAAATTAAAAAAAAATTAAAAAAACAATCAATAATTATAACGATAATAACGACAGCACAATAAAAAAATTAAAAACAATAGTAATAATAATAATTATAATAAAGGGAAGGCTTGTTCAAACAATATCTTCTCCCCTCCGTGTGATCTGATCTGATCGAACCAAATATCCTATCCATTCATCCCATCTGTCTATCACACCCATCCAATCCATTATCACAAACCTCTATTACTATTTGCAATGTCTTAACAGAGACAAATTCCATCATTATTGTTATTTGATTCATTATCAAGTTTGATTGGATCCGGGAAATTGTCGTATCTGCTGACGTGTTATAATTTGGTAAGTAAATATATCTAACACGCGAGTACAATTAGAATTAAGATTAAAAATAATTATTACGCACAGGTCTGATTCTGCTTCTTGTTGCAGAGCATTTTTTGCAATAGTTTGGAAGGCTGTTTCTACATTTATGGCTTCCTTGGCACTAGTTTCGAAATAAGGAATGTTTCCTTTAGATTGACACCAAGTCATAGCTCTTTTTTGGGACACCTAGAGAACGAACAAAAATAATATCCAAAACATCAGTAAAAAAAAAGAAGAATCATAACGATTTTTCTTTTGATTATAATTATTAGAATATTCTCCTAAGTACCATTCTCTTTGATTCTTCCATATCAATTTTATTGCCTAACACAACAAATGGGAAATTTTCTGGATCTCGTGGCGACGCTTGCACTAAAAATTCATCTCTCCAACTGTCTAACGTTTCGAAACTCTTTGCGTTGTTTACGTCGTACACTAGTACACAACAATCAGCGCCACGATAGAATGCGACGCCCAGTGACTGAAAACGTTCTTGTCCTGCGGTGTCCCAAATCTGAGAAAGAATAAATGCGAAAATAAATCAATATACGATTTATCAAAATAACAGTAATCCTTTATGATAAATATAATTATTGTTTCGTCTAACCTGCATCGTCACAAGACGATCGTCGACCATTACTTCCTTAGTTAGAAAATCAGCGCCAATAGTAGCTTTGTATTGATTACTGAATTTCTTATTGACATATTGATTCATTAAAGAAGTCTTTCCGACACTTTTTAGTATTGATGAAAAAGTATATATATTAGCTATCCATATTAACCGTTTAAATCGTAACTTTTTCCCTTGATGCAAATTCCCATAATGTAAAAAACTCACCCACTATCACCCAAGATAATGACCTAAAAGTAATAAGATGTTATCAACCTTTTATCCTAACGCTGAAAGAACAACAAACAACAGGTTAAACAAGATCTTTCTAAACAAGTTACCTTCAAAAGTACTTTCTTACGAGAAGCCATTATGAGTTTTCTTTAAAGAGTTCAATTAACGTTAACGCAACTTCTTTTTTACTGGAATAAGTAAGTTTTAATAAAATACCCCACGATTGTTTTAAGAGTAAAAATTAAAAGGAACAGGACAAACTGCAGCAACACACACGGCGTGCGGTTTTGTATGCCTTTTTCTGTTGGATGATATCACCACTGTGCAACGGCGAAAAGCTGGGTTTTTGTGAGCACGTGAGTTCTGGAAAGATATAAGCGAGTTAGTTACATGAAACAACATTTTGCGGCTGAATTTGTTTTATCACATGCATGAGATAATCTTTGAAGTACGTAGAAGAATGAATTTCTATTTTTGTATATTTTTCTTTCTAATTAAAGTTGTGTGTGATCGAACCCTAAACATGCATCGACCTTATGCATACGGCGATCTATATTCAAGTCCCATTTATCGTTAATTGAAAAATAAAACATGTCATCACTACTAAACCAACGATACCTTCTCGGTCTGATAGTCCTGCTATCTGTAGTATTCATATGGGTGGGAAGTGCTTTTTTAATGAATGTAAGAGCAGCGCTTTTTGTTTGTTATGATTAGGGAAGTTGACGCGCGATCGAATCGAATGAACTCTTAATCATGATTAATTATTTTAATTAGAATATGTTTGCAAACCAAGATTATAATAAACCATTTGCAATTACATATATAAACCAAAGCTCTTTCTCACTGTACTTACTTTTCACGCTGTTCAGCAAAAAGAACCTGGCTTCCGATAAGCAAAGGTGCTAGTAAATGATAAATTTTTTTAATGGTAGCTAAAAGTTGATTCGATTCTTTTTTGATTTATTACTTTTATACAGATCAAGTGAATCCAATCACGATACGACGTCAAGAATTTTTTCTGAATCGATAGAGTCTACCAAATTTGACCTTGACAAAGATAATGTAAGGTTTTTTTATTATACGTTTTTTACCAATAATGTTTTTTTCATCTTGTAAACGGTTCTTTTTTTAGATTTCGCATCATCATCTCGTTGACCCTGATCTTAATAATAGTGAAAATAATGAAGAAACTACTTTTCTATTAGGTTCCACTCGAGGTTTATTAAATCCTAGATCTGATAATAATAACAATAATAACAACGAAGATCTAGATCCTCACGATGTACTTTCCGATCATGGACACGATAAGCTGACCAAAAACGAGGTAACGCTATTTATCATTCTTGAGGATTGTGTATTTCATTAATTATTTACTTATTTGGTTGGAAACTTTAGATCGCTAAGCTCGGGTTAATCTTTTGCGTGTTATGGTTTCTAGGTGCGTGTTTGCGCATGCTTGTTAGTGATTTACACACATCAGTTGATACCTAAATCTCATTTTGTATAATAGGTTGTTGGTGTAATAATGCATCTCTTGCGTATACAAACGTTTCCAGCAGTACAATTATGGCTTCCATGTCTGGTAATCATCATTTAGATCATTTTTTTCGATATAGATAAATAGTTATTAATAATCAGTTTGTTTATTTAGGTTTTTTTACTTTAGGTATTGGGACTTCATTCGGTATTGAAAAGTTCAGTTTGATTAAATTAATGGCTGTAATGATAAGGTAATAGTAATAATTTGATGGACTTCCATATTGAATATCTTCAAATTAAAAAAGTGGTTATATCTCTAATAATCAGTGTAACAGGTGTCACTCTTATATCATTCTCCGATAAGTCTGATACATCTGATAATCCAAATAAACCATCAGCGCCTTTACTTGGCGATCTCCTTTCTCTTCTCGGGGCATTCTTTTACGGATGCAACATAGTTCTTTTAAAACGACAAATTCGTGACGAATCACGTATTGACATGCACTTATTTCTGGGCTACGTCGGCGTTTTCACCTTCACTCTACTCTGGCCCGTGTTCTATTTGTTTGACATCACGGGCATCGAAAAATTCCAACTACCCTCGACTGATGTACTATGGTTGATGGTGGCTATCAACGCACTAATAGGCACATTTTTATCCGATTATCTATGGTTGCTGGCCACTTTTATGACTTCGCCGTTGGTGGTCACCCTTGGACTGTCGTTAACCATTCCATTGGCGCTGGCTGGTGATGTCTTGTATAAGGAAATCAATCTAGGCACGCAGTATTGGATTGGTGCTGTTTTTGTGCTTGGGGGATTTTTGGCGGTGAATTTGTCGACACTTCAGGAGCAGAAACAGTTGAAACTTGGTGAGGATGACGATGGTGAGGTTTAAAGACAAATTATTATGGTTATTATTTAAATGCCTATCGCTCAATTTGAATGTCAAAGAATTATTTCCTTTGTTGTTATATGATGTAATCTAGTGTATTGCTTGAATTTCTTTCGAAAATAATAGACTTAAATAGCGATAACAACAACAATACTACTAGTTTACCGAATGAAGTGCACACGAGTTCGCGCTCTTTAGCGGCTCCGATATCAAATGACGCGACGATGCATTATATTAAAAGGACCTCATCATCATAACCCTCCATCATTGATATTAATTTTACGGAAAGCAGAAAAACGTCAATTACCCGTATTAGCAATAATGTGGCGGCGACGTGTATATAAGTATATTAATTTATATAATCATTTATTTGTTATAATATGCGTGATGAAAGAAATCCATAATAAATTTAACCATAATAATAGCAACTACATGAATAATTACAAAAGATCAGGTTTCTTCTCGTGTGTCTTTCAAATACCAAAAATTATATTCACAACGTATATGAATTATGTGCAGACGTTGGAAGTGCTCTCAACCAATGATCGTTTTCACATAAATAATTAACTAGCTGAATGATCAAGAGTTGTGTGTATTTACGAGATTGCCCATTAAGGATGTCTTGTATTCATTTGCTTATCAATATAGAATATTACATTCCAATATCCCATCCACCAGAAGATTTCAGATTAACAAATTATGTTTTTGTTCTTCCTTTTTCAGCCTTCTTAATATTCTTACTACTAATGTTGGAAACAAAACCACCATTACTGCTACTCCCACTTTGCTTCTCTTTAATAAGCTTACTTAGAACTTGATTCCGTGCACGTTTCACATCGACCTCAAGTACCGGCAACTCAAAATGTTTTGCAATGGCTTCTATCCGTTCTTCGGGAATTATGCGTTCCGAATCATCGTGTTCACCCAAATCTAGGTCTTTGTATATCATGTCCAGTATTTCGCAGGTAAGCGGCGAAAGCCGATTATCTCTGATTAACTGTCGAAGATGTTGAGCACCTTTATATGCTATATGGATATAAAATGATTAGCGAGAAAAACACTCGTAAATAAAGAAGATAAACATGAGAGAGAGAGCGTCGTCTCCAATTCACCTTTATAATGACTATATAATCTGAATAGATTGTAGAATAACGGTATGTTCGGAATTATTGGCACAATTGTGAAGGTAGCAGACAATGGCACAAATAGTGCTGAATAGAACATGTACTTTCGATGATATGGGAGTCGTTTGTCAAGTAATCGACTTAGATTTGAATTGATTTGTGATGGTGAAACTATCTTCGATGGGTATAGTATTGGCACCTGTGACATTTCGTGCCAAATTTCAATCAAACATCAATAATAATAGTAATAATGATACACCAGGAGTAATTAAATATTTCGAGACCTCAAAAAAACGAAAACAACGAACTTGGAAAAAAGAGAAGAGATGAATGAGTCCTGAGGTAGAAAAGGAATAAGGAGCGAAAAAATGCTTGTATTTTGCAACCTCACACCCTCGGATCTTAAAACATTGACCTATTCCACTTACTTCAGCAGACCATTCCTCGCGTAACGGTACCCCTTTTAGAAAATACTCTTGATAGTCCATTCTGTCGAGTAGCTTCTGTCCAGCTATGTAAAGACGTCCTTTCCAGCTGGTTTTCTCGGCGTGTGATAATGCTTCCCACTTTGACGCTGCAAAAGTTGTCGCTTTTAAGAGGTATGTTTGTTTTTTGGGTGGAGCGTGGCAATAGTAAGCGTATCTTGTTCGAAGAAGCGGGATTACATAGAGTTTCATTGTAAATAAGAGTATTAATGTTAACGTTAAGGGAATTGATGGATGTTATCAATCGAATTAATCGATTGGATCTTGATACGCGCGTTTTTAATCAATCATATCAATCAACAACTATGTTGATTGATTATCAAATACTTTAATGCTAGGCGGCGTTATTAGCATTATATATATAAATTAAAATTTTGATGATGGGAAAGAATTGAATTCTTGAACAAAAATTCCCATATATCCAATTAAACAAAAAAATCTCTGAAAACGTTCAACAAGCCATGGAAACCACTTCCGGAGTCGTTTCCGAAACAGCACATGAAGCTAAAGGAAAAGCACAACAAATTATCTCGCAAACCGATCAATATTACAAACGACCGTACCATTTTATTATCGAGTCATGGAAAGAGAGTTCGTTTTTTCGTCTTTATGCCTATATTGCTGCAACTTATGGAATCATACCGGCGGTAATTCTCGTTGGTTGGACTATCGCAACGTTGGCAATCGTTGTAGGAGTAGCAGGAGTTGGAATCGTGGTCGCAGAGGGATTTTTCGCGTTTTTGGGATCATTGGTCTTCTTCCCGGTGGTAGGTACTTTGTTGTTTATCGCTAGTCTTGGCGGTATTGTAGCTGGGTTTGCGTATGGTAGCCTGAAAGTTATCCGGTTTGCGTTGTCTCAAGTGGGGTTTCTTGATCAAAGTATCTCCTCTCAACCGGGACGACCTTCATAATGGCCAAGTAATGATTAGAACCAGTAAAGGTACTAGTAGTAGACGAGCTAGTAATGATAACGATGATAGCATCTTACCTGTTTTTATACAAGAATTTTTCGAATCAATTTATCGAAAAATGGTATTGATAGCTTATGTTTTTATTATAGGATTTATTATTTGCACCATCATAAACTATAGCAAGTAAAGAATTATGTATGCTAGAAATCCATACTTGTTATTTCATATAAATTTAATTTTCAATACACAGAGGTAAAAAAACACTCATTTGAGTCTGATTTACAGCATAAATCGATGATTCATATATGAAGAAACCTTATAAAAAGTGGATTTCGAAAAACACCCAATTTGAATCAATTGCAACTTTCAATTAAAATTTTGAGGCATGTCAAAGACGACGACAATGGCTGTTTCAATATTTACTAACCTAGACCAAGTCAACCACAGCAAAATCTACTACCGCCACCAAAACAACAGCACAACAACGAGCATGAGTAATATCCACGTAAAAAGTTTAACAAACAACATTCAACTCAAAAGCAAGACACAGCTCGTCAGGACAACAACATCCAAAACGCGTAACCCAAGAAATATAGACGAATTGAAGGACAATGTGTTTTAGCAAAATTGGTTTTAGGTGGCTAGTGAATAACGCGTAAGACGGAAATGAATTGACTCTCTTGGAGTTCTTTGACGAATGGGGAATCGGGACTAAACGTAATTTCCGTATTTCATATTATCGAGAGACGGAGAACCCTATGGTCAGATATTCATTGGATAGCCAACAAACTAATATTTTATTCGTCGTAAATTTTCTGCCGTATCTGGGAATCCACCACATAGTATTTCTTGGTGTATCTTGTGGACGAGACGAGGGACTCCCACTCGATAAACGCTAGTATGTTATCAGTTCGGAATCAGCACACATCAAGTTTTTACGTATTGGTATCTGAAATCCGCAAAAGTCGGAAACTATGTGGCGCTTGTTCACCTTATTTGAGGGGAATCGGAGCAACTGTAAAGTTGGATCTTGCTTTTAATAGTCGGAAAGCTGGGAACGGAATATTGATGTTATGGTTAATGACAGATTATTATAAAAGTTAGCTTTTTTTTTCTAATGGGTAAGCAATGCTGTTTTATCAATTATTGTAAGCACTGTTAACTGTGGTAATTTCACAAAAAATATCGTTCAACTGGCATGCCAACTGATTTTCCTCATTTCAGCCAATAAAAGGTATCAGTATACGTAACTATGACTTCTCTTTACATTTCATGTAAAATGCCATTTTGCCAGTAAATCTGATTTTGACCGTTATCGTTATCGTTATTGTTTCGTAAGTTTAGCAATATTATAATTGACATGCATAATCAGCGATTTATTTAAAGTTTAAAAACCAATTTCAAATTCATAACTTCTCGATTAAATTATATCTTGAACTCCCCTTCTCGATAGTCTTGCTATTCTCGAAATTGTTTGTGGTGTTATTTGATATTTCAGTACTGAAACAGATAATTATTTTTCATATTTTGTCTTTGAAACAAGGATTGAGATAAGTTATATTTTGAATCAAAATGAATAATGCATTAAATGTTAGGGGCATTATTGTAAACAGAATTAGTCATATGAAATAACAATATTATTAAATACATGCATGTTATCATTAAATTGAACCTACTAGATATTAATTTCTGGCAGAATTTTGTGAAATAAATATTTACAACAAAATAATACCGAATGCTTAATCTTAATGCATCACAAGCCTCTGTTTGCACGCATCCCAAATTTTTCGATTCTAGAGATAACTTCAAAGCGTGATGAACATTAACATTCGCTCCTTTTACCATACAAAAACACAGTTGCTAAATTACACTTGCCCATTTCGTCGCTCATTTAGAGTACATATTTAAATTTGTTATATTTAAAATTTTTAAAAGTTGTTTTATTTTTTTTATATTAGATATTTTTATTTAATCTATATAATTTTAACTAAAGTTATTATAATATTACTGAACTAGTTCTTATTCAAACAAATTATATCTTTACTTTTAGAATTATAGATCTGGAATATATATTGATTTTGACAAAATTTAGAAATTAATATTAAAGATTATTTTAAAAATTAGAATTTATTTTCTGTATTTTTTATATTTTTGATTTGTATTATTTATATTATATATATATCAAATAATATATTTAGTATAAACTATTATATATTTTAGATATATTTTAAAATTTTCTGATAGCATATTAAAAACATGTTTAATATAAAAATAATTTTTTAATAAAATTTGAATGCAAATTTTTTAGTAAGTTTACTTTTGTATTAATAATATTCAAATATAATTTAATAATATTTTGTTAATTTCTTAATTTTATAATAATTATTTGGCAGTGATTTTATTTTTTTGTAGTTGAGTATTAGTAACACCAAATTACTTACTGTTTTATTATATATGTTTTAGAATAATATTAGAAATTTGAAGAGTTAATATTAAATAACTTACTAAATTACAAAATTAATATATAATAAAAATACTTTTGAAAAATAACTTATAAAACTATTATTTGTATTTTGATAAAATATTTTTTATAATAATTTTGATTAAACTTTCAATTTTATATTCCAGAAAGTATTAAATATTTTTCCAGAAATTTATTAACAAAATTATTGAATTTTCAGATTTGAGTTGAATATTAAAAATAAAAAAATTACAAATTCAAAAATTAAAAGTGCAATTTGATAAAAATATAAGTTTATAAACAAATATAAACTTGTATGAAAATAAATTATTTATTGTATCTTTTTTTCAAAAAACTATTAATTAAAGAAGTAAAATATAAAAATAATTTCAAATAAAATTAGAAAAGTTATATATCTAAATAATAAGTAAATGATAAAATAACTTTTTAATTAAAGTAAAGATAATATATTAATAAAACTTATTATTATGTATTATATTTAATAACTTCAGTTTTTATAATTAAAGCTTAATTGATAACTTTATTAGTAATAGTATTGGTCAATTTCAGGATTATAAATTGTTTTTCAAATAATTTTAATTATAGATCATATGAAATTTATAATTAAAATCTAGGACTTTTGAAGTTTGATATTTTCTAATTTACTAATAATAATATCAGCAAGATCTCAGATAATATTAATAAAAATATGAAATGAGTTAATAATAAATATTTTATATCTTGATTTTAAATATTATTTCTTCAAATTTGCAAATTATATATCCAATTTAAATATAAGATAAAAGAGAATGAAATATTTTAGCAAAGTTAAGATTGTAGTGTTATAATTATGCTATAAAATTTGTTAATTCCATAATTCGTAATATTTCATGAAATTATAAAAATCATGTAAAGAACTTAGAGTGTTTCACAATATTATTAATTATAGTATTCGTATACTTTTATTTTTCTACTTCGTACTCCTATACTTTTTATACTTTTTCTACCTTGTACTCCTATATTTTTATACTTTTTATACTTTTTACTTCGTGTTCTTATACTTTTTATACTTTTATACTTTTTCTATTTTATACTTTTATACTTTTATATTTTTATA